TCTTTCTTCCAGAATGACGAATGTGTTTTACCCATTAAAAAAGTCTGCATGACGAACGCAAAGAAAGTGAAGATAGACAGCACGAATATGCCAGTAAACTGGCAGATCCTCACTATTAAAACCGAGGACTTCACACATTCCCCGGTAGAAGCAAAAGAGTTTGCAGCAAGTCCAGAGAGTACCACTTTTAGTATCGATGAAAGCTCCTCTGATGACACAAAGCCCCAATACGCCCGTAGGACACCGGGGCGTAAACCATCCGGCAAATACCCAAATAAACGTAAACGATTGCCAGAAAAGGACACCGAGGAGTACTTTGACAAGAGGGCCAGAAATAATGTTGCTGTCAGAAAAAGCAGAGAAAAAGCCAAGCAGCGACAACAGGAAACAGAGGAGAGAGTCCAGCAGTTGGCAAGTGAAAATGAACAATTGCAGAAAAAAGTTGACTTGCTCTCAAAAGAGCTTCATGTCCTTAAAAGTCTGTTCATCAATGTTGGAGCATCTTTGCCCACTAATTTCGAGGAGATTCTTAATAGGTGATAATGGCTTTTCTGTAGAAAATGTATTGTTTGATATAGAAAGATTAGAGTTCATTCAGTCTTATAATATGGAAGTTAAACAAGATTTGGTGGAGTCTTATGAACTTGAACATTTACGAAGTACCTGTTCCATTGAAACATGCAGGCTGAAAAGAATTAACCATTATAATGTATGTTTCCATCATTGTCATCATCCATTTAGTTTTTACTTTTGCATTGTTGAAGTTGACCTTCAGATTTTTTGTTTGCATAATTCTATCCAACACGAGGATGATGCTTGTACCGAATGTTACTTAGATTTAGAGAATTCAGATTTTCACTTTTGTAGTATATCTGATCGTTTCTTTGTGAGACATAGTTTATTACAGAAATTTATTTTTAGATTTAGTATTGTATTCACATTAAATGGAGAAAAAGGAAAATTGTTTGAACTTTTTTTAATTTAAACTTTTTCCAAAGCAAGATGGCATTCAGGTTTCCCTCTATTAGAGCATCTATTGCATTTGTATAGTGCTCTGGGATGTCAAAGATCATATTATAATGCACATGCATGCAGTTGTATATGCATCCACATCTCATTAGTACAGCCCTGGTTGATTGCATTGATGTGCACTTGGGAATGTACTTGTCTCCCGTTTCTTGAGTATGTAGTCACATGTTAAGTGTAAAAAAAATTAAACCTCACAGTATGGACTGGGTTGATTTGACTGTTACAGACCAAATGCAATTCCATTCCACAACCAAAAATATAATTGAAAAACTGAGGACAACTTCTTGGTATAGACTAGCAAGTTGTTCTGATTTTTCTGATGTGACTAGTTGCAGAGATTATCTGTGCAAGGTATGATTTGTGCTGGAGGGTCAAAATTTAAATTTGTGATACACATGTAGAAGGCATTGTCAACCCAAGGTAAGAATAACCAGTGTAAACTGTCTAGCCACTGAGAAATCCATCACAGCTGAAAGTATTCTTGACATGTGCCTTATACACGTGCATCAGCAATTTAAATTTAATGTAAAAAACAAGTGAATATTAATAATGGGATTAATACGACAAAAAGCCAGTTGTCTGAAAGATTGAATACCATAGCTATAAAGGAGGGATTCTACTTGGCATGCGCATACAAAAGGTGAGTGCAAATAAATTGCTAGCGAGCGGCCCAATGACATGCGCATACAAAAGGTGAGTACAAATAAATTGCTAGCGAGCGGCCCAATGACATGCGCATACAAAAGGTGAGTACAAATAAATTGCTAGCGAGCGGCCCAATAGTTAAGAACATGACACTGATGCTCTGGCACATATCATGCTGAGGACTGTTGGTCTCCAGAACCAATAATGTCGTGGGAGGGGGGACAAAAGGTGAACAATTTGTCTTATTTTTAGTCATAATTTGGTGTTACAACTGGTTTAACTAAGCAACAGAAAAGAGAGAAAACCAAGTATTGTAACATTAAACAAATTTACTTTCCTAGAATGCAGAAAATTTAAAAACGTTTTGCTCTATTATGAATTAAAATCCCAAATGATCCAAAATGTTATGACAAGTTCAAAATAAATGTTATTGTACCTATTGTCTTGACGGTGTTAATATGCCGTTGGTCTTTTGATGTATCACAATTTAATTTTTTTTTTAATTCACTGCAACTCCAAAGGATATACAGTCCAATATTATTTATTGATTTTTGTGTGTGGTGTTTTAGATTTTTAACGTAGCTTTAACAATTTTTCAGTCATATCGCTACGATGTCTGCAGTGTGACAGTTAATAGTGATGTCTAGCACTGGGGCATCATGCCGCAGACATGTAGTATGAAGTCTTTGGTATGACTCTGCCGGAGTTCGAACCCGCGACCTCCCTCGCTCTAACCACTGATGAGTATTTGTATTTCCAGTGAATAATTTAGTAAATAAATCTACCCAAATGAATAATTGAACAGAACATTAAGGCTGATTTTGCATCAAGATTTGACGGCAAGAATAAGTAATCTTATCTTGCGCCGTACCAGACAAAAGCTGTCCTGTGAGAAAGTTCCAGATGAAATTTAGATGCATATGTAGAAATCCAATATCACTGTGGAATCAAATTGCATGTCCTTAAGTTCCATTTTCTAGATCGAGGTTTAGATTTTATATATTATACAGTGGTGGTTTAAAGTTATAATTCCTATGTCGACGTTTTACAGTGTACAGTTTGAATTACAGTGACAAAGAAACTCCAATTCACACGTTGAATGTAACTGATTAAAATTCCATTTTTCATATGGCGAGTACAAAGATTTCATCTTGAATTTCACAGCAACGAGAAGCAGCCTCATTGTTTAAAAATAAAGCGGTCCGTTTATGAGAGCGACCTCAGCGAAGAAATTCATAGTAATTCTCGGCCTGTTAACTTTCCAACTCTAAATGCACGAAATGTAACGGCGCCTCATAATTGAATACACGATTGATGTATCTTAATAATCATCATTTTAAATTGTTCAAGTTGACATTGTGTGGTGTTAATTTAAACAACACTTCATTTCATCATATCAAAATAGCAATTCTGATAAGCACAATGAAATATCCAATCTGTAATTCAACAGATGCAATCTAAAAACTTGACAGAAAATGTAACTTTCAGTACATTCAATGTGATTCAAGATGTTAAACTGAAACTCTCGACATATGAGATTAAAATGTCAACAGCCGTCGTGCAATTCAGAAAACACAATCTAAAAACTCTACATTGGACATCAAATTTTCAACCAGCGCTGTGTTATTCAACATAATGGAACTTTCAACATAAACTCTTTGGACCAATACGTAAATTTGGGATTCGCGATTAATGACTGAAATTTCAACCACCGCCGTTTAATTCAAATGACACAATCAAAAACCTAGACATATAAAATATAACTTTCAACCACTACTGTTGAATTCAACAGATGCAATCTAAAACCTCGACCTAAAAATGGAATTTTAAGGACCTACAATTTCGACGCAACATGTGAAATTGGAATTTTGGACATTTGACGTTAAAATTTCAACGGCAACGTTCTGATTGGATCAGCTATTGTCCGCTACGACGCCTCGTATAATCTGACAAGTAAATAAGAAGCTGAAACACATAATGGAACTAGTATGTGCTAAACATTCCAAGTCGTCAATAAGTTTGGGAATTTCCAAGTGGAAATTTGTCCTGGACTCGATTCAGATACATTTGCCACCAAATATAAAAATGGTCTGAATATTTAACCTATACTCTTGAGAAACATTTGCTATGTATTATGTTCTTTTACAAAATCAATGCAGCTGGTCATGTACACTGTGACCTTTATTTTAGACACGGTCAAATACAAGAAAAAATAATCATTAAGAAAAGCCAACAAATAATAAAATGTACATAACGAATGTTATCGATATATTTCTTCCAACTAAAACCACTTTGTACGCCTCCGCCTCGACAACACCACGTAACAATACTGGTTTGTCGAGTTGACATGGGCTAACATGCAAATATTAGATACTAATTAACACAATATTTAGTTTTTTTGTGATTTAATGTAAACACAATCACGAAAATTTTTTTGTGGAGAAAATGACCAGCTTCAAGTGCAGTTGGATAAGGTCTGACCAAGCAGAGTGTAGTCCTTTGTGTAGCAAGAATGTAAACACGAAACCCATTTTCAACGATTTAGTTTTGATTTTAAACTTATGGATGATCTCCCATGCAAACAATTTTCAACAAAGTTTTTTTTTTTTTTTTAAAATCAAAACTATATTTTGTAAATTCATACTAATTAAATAAAAAGAACGAAATTAAATGGATGATCGAAGGCATATGGTTGAAGTTTTAGAAACTCAATGGTTGAATCAAACATTCAAGAACTTTGATTGGTTTCGTCTTTAAGTTGATTATTAGTATAAATGAATTTGGTCGATTATTATAAATGAAAGAAAATATTAGCATGAAGGAACGAACGATCGTTAATTTTTGTTATTTCAGTGCAGGTCTTTACAATTTATTGCGCATTCAAAGTTAATTATTATAACTACCAATTTTCCAATTTCAATAAAAATAAAACTTTCAAAACTTTAAGTTGAAAAATCATTTGATCCCTGGATCTATTTTTATTTTCATAATTTTCAACCAATCAAGTACTTCCGCTAGGGTAAATTTGTCTTCTAATATTAAAGATTGTTCTTGGGTAAGCCAGCAATTTGATATTATTCTTAGAAAGACCTAAGTCTATATCACCTACCACTTTGTGCACATTATGTAGATTATTGTGCGTGTTTTGTGTGTGTGATTTGGATTTTTAACGTATAATGTCATATCGCTATAATAGTGATTTCTAGCACTGGAGTATCAAGCCGCAGACACATTATTCTGACATCCAGCCTACCAGTTCTAACACTAACCTCTTGATGCTCAGCGGCTAGGTAGCTGTTAGTACCATTATTTTTAAGTCTTTGGTATGACTCAACCAGGGTTCGAACCCGCGACCTCCCGCATCAGAGGCAGTTGCTCTAATCACTAGGCCACGGTCATATAGATTATTATAATACGTTCCAACTTCCCCTAGAATATCAAACCGAATAGAAATAATTTCATTTTCTTCTTTGATTATTTTCAATAATTCACATAGTTTCTATTTTCTAGATTTCAAAAGTATGTTCTTAGTTTCTGTCCTTCTATCAATTTTACTTTTGGAACTAAAAATATTTCCACGAAGATTTTGTTTCCTCGTGCTTTCATGCTCTTCTTTTGACTCAACTGTTTTTATAATATAAGACCCCAAGGAACCATTCTCTAAGGACAGTATTTGTTGTACAAGTTCGTTCTCCTATACTCATTTACACTTCTTTTTATATGAAGCTAGGAAATGTTTTGTCCCTAAGAATTTCCTTGAATAATGTATCTAGAAAGAATGAATGTGATATAATAAATCTTAGATCTGATATCGATACATTTTTCCCATAATCAGTTGAAGGATATTGTAAGTGTATTATTTTCATGCAATGTTTTATTTCATGAATATATTTAATCAACCAGTAAATTGCTATTAAATTTCCACTAACCTTTTTTTTTTAACTCATGAAATTATATGAATTAAAGGCATTTTATCTTGTTGTGGTCTGACTACTAAGATTTGGTTGTCACTTTTACTTCATTTGCATTAGAGATTCTGACCAGAATATTGGACCAAGTTAAAGTCCCAATAATCAACTCATTTTCGTAATTCATGTAAAATATAATTTATAATATTGTAAAATTCTGGATAATCATTATTTCGGCCCATATACATTAATTAAAGAGAGTTCATTTCAGAGGCGTAGCTAGAGTGGGGCAGAGGGGTACATAAAGTGCGCTAAGGTACCGGGCGCCAAAATGAGGCTTACAACGTTACATTATAATGAGTAAAATAGAAAAATGTGATTAAACGGGGAGGGGGCTGGGGCGCCAATTTTGTAGTTCGTCCCCGGGCGCAAAATATCATAGCTACGCCACTGGTTCATTTTAGCACTTTTATTGTCCATTGCAATGGGGTACATAAAGTGCGCTAAGGTACCGGGCGCCAAAATGAGGCTTACAACGTTACATTATAATGAGTAAAATAGAAAAATGTGATTAAACGGGGAGGGGGCTGGGGCGCCAATTTTGTAGTTCGTCCCCGGGCGCAAAATATCATAGCTACGCCACTGGTTCATTTTAGCACTTTTATTGTCCATTGCAATCGGATTCGTTTTTGATTCTTTTATACCATACTCCAAGTCGTTTTTGAGTAGAATAAATACGCCTCTTTATTTCTAAATATACGTTTAAAATTTTCTTCCAATGAATTAATACTTTTTTTTGTATTTAGTATACTTTTCATGTCTTTTAGAAATACTGTAAACATAATTTATGCTTGTTTTGTGAAAAAAGAAAGGACGTGAATTGCTCGACGTGCAAAATATACTAGGATCTACCTCAAATTATTATTTAGGTTCGATGAGGTCGAGTCGACGATATAGCAACAAAAATATATTGAAACGACGATATGTTCACCCCCACCCCGAGATAAAGAATCTGAGAGTGATCTTCCGTAGTTTTCTCTATGCTTTGTGCATGAACATGATTTGTTTCTTCAGAATATACCGCTTCAAGGATCAACGCACTCGTACTCTCACTGTGTGCAGAAAATGGATCTCACAGCCCGATAACTGTTTAACGTTTGACTTCAAAACAATCCCACTTTGTCGTTTAAACCTGATGTCGATCTATAAGACAAACAAATTAAGAAAGTATTGTTTAAAGTATGAACAGGTCTCAATTTTGTGCATGTATATGATTTATAAATTTATTCGTTTGCGGTACGCACCTGCTAAAATACGTAAACATGTCGAATACACCGTGTGTGATGGGAAACAAATAACTATTTTCTTGAAATAGGAGAGAGATGGGCTAGGTTGGGATTGTCTAGGGTATCTATTGTCGATTTTCTAACATTAACATTCTTTAACTTGCATACTAATACAGCGTGATCTGTATAATTTTCGTATCTTCATGAAGTTGTTTACAAACCATTAAATGCTTTTATTCATACAATACTGTAAAAATATTTATATTCTGAAAGTTTGTTTGAAACACACACACATACACAAACACACACACACGTGTGTGTGTGTGTGTTAGAAATAACATTAATTTAAAATATTCTTATGGTAATGGATATGTATAAATATGGATTACCTGTTAATAATGTGTTCTTGGCATTTCTATATAGCTGCATACAAGTAATCTAATGCTGATTCATGAATCAAGACAAGTATTAAATAATTTGTTGCCAGCAATATTCGCTTATAAAAAGTACGCTTAATATTACTGGCATTTAGAGTTATTAAATTTATTTTGGGTTAAATATTTTGAGCTTTGGAAAAGCTACTTTTGCTTGTCTCCAGTAAAATAAAAACAAGCAATTCCATTGCTCCGTCACACTACTTTATTTATTTATTTATTTATTTATTTATTTATTTATTTATTTATTTATTTATTTATTTATTCGCCTCTTCAGAAATTCATAATTGTAGCAAAATGGGCCATTTAAGGCCGATTTAGGAAACTAACCTTGGTATCTTTTACGAGTCTCCACACACTGTTGCAAACCAGCTTTAATATGGTCTCGTCTCGTCTCGTCTCCTGAGAAGACATTGTAAGTAAGGAATGGTCACTCAGGTCTATATACCATTATTTCAAACCTTCTCTTCGAAGATGACAGTTCATGCTTCTTCCAGATACTCTTCCAACTTTTTCTCTGGACTGATCATTAAACATTTCTAAGATGATAGAGACGACAACCTTGACTATTATCTTGCCAGTTTTATGATTTTTCTTTCAACCAAGTAATGATCCATACTGTATGCTCGTGCTAATTTTGATCAGGCCATCTTGACATCATGACTGTGTTTTTGTCTTGGTCACAGTGATGTGTAACTGCTGCTGTGTTATTGATAGAACACATTCTTGAACTACCTCCACAGACTCGAATTCCATCTTTAATTTTTCTTTCTTATCGTCTACAATCACTTTTCTAAAACTATTGATTTATAGAGTGTTGTCGATTTCAACATATAAGATGACGCCACTGTCTTACCCAGAAATAGTACAAATTAAATTTTCCTCAGATTTGGCACTATTTTATGCAGTGAAAATTACCCTGGTCACTGCGTTGGTCTTGATTCAAACTAAAGTGCCTCCCCCGATTATCAATTTACACAATCGTCGTACGAAATGCCGTGGCTTCTGTTGGTTCCTAATATTCATATGGCTTTAATCTTTATCGAGTAAAATCTCACGTAATTTTGGTAGGCAAACACTCAACAGATCGTTTTTGATCTAAACAATACTTCGTTTCGTACTGAAAATTTGAAGAAGGTATTAAAACATTGCATTGTCAGGTTCGTTTTGGAATGAAACGTGTACTATATGAAGAGGAGCCTTTTCGTTATGTCATGTTAAACTCATCGTTGGATTGTTGGACGTGCTGAATTTTATTCAAGATTTTGGAAGAAATAAATTAGGCAGGTGTACTAAATTCGATCAATACAGTAGATTTCAAATCGTCATAAGTGATCGATATTCTCAAACAAGCTTAATCTTGTACTTGGCATTGCAGTTTCAATTTCTTAATGGTTGGTATTGGTTCTGGATCACTCTCGGTATTATGTTAGAGAAGGATGGTATTGGTTCTAGATCACTCTCCATATTAGGGTAGAAATGGATTGTAATGGTTCTGGACCACTCTGAGTATTATGGTAGAGATATATGGATATTGTTCTAAATCACTCTCGGTATTATGGTAGAGATGAAAGATATTGGTTCTGGATCACTCCCGGTAACATGATAGAGATGGATGGTATTTTTTTCAGGATCACTTTGATTATTATGGTAGAGATGGATGGTATTGGTTCTGGATCACTCTCGGTATTACGGTAAATATGGATGGTATTGCTTCTGGATCACTCTCGCTATTACGGTAAATATGGATGGTATTGTTTCTGGATCACTCTCGGTATTAATGTAAATATGGATGATATTGGCTCTGGGTCACTCTCAATATTATAATAGATGTGGATGGATTTTGTTCTAGATAAGTCTCCGTATTATAATAGAGATGGATGGATTTGTTTCTGGGTCACACTCGATATTATGGTAGAGATGGGTGTTATTTGTTCTAGATCACTCTTAGTAGTATGGTAGAGATGTATGGATATGGTTCTAGATTACTCTCGGTATTATGTTACAGTTGGAAGGTAATGGTTTTGGATCACTGTCGGTAACATGGTAGAGATGGAAGGTATTTTTTTTCAGGATCACTGCATATTATGGTAGAGATGGTTGAATTGAGGTCTGGATCACTCACTATTTTGGTAGAGATTGATGGTATTGGATCTAGATCACTCTTCATATAAAACTATAAATGGATTGTATTAGTTCTGGATAATTCTCGGTATTATGGTAGAGATGGATGGTTTTGGTTCTGGATCACTCTCGGTATTACAGTAAAAATGGATGATATTGGTTCTGGATCACTCTCAATAGTATGGTAGAGATGTGTGTTATTGATTCTGGATCACTCGGTATTATGGTAGAGACGGATGGTATTGGTTCTGAATCATTATCGATATTATGGTAGAGATGGATGGCATTGATTCTAGATAACTCTCGTTATTATGAGAGAGATGGATGGTTTGGAGTTTGGATCACTCTAACGCTAGCCAGCACGTCATGGAGAGTGTTGGGTATAAATCTGTGTTTCGTGACAATTAAGATGAAAGAGTAACATGTGATCGCATTTCTCATCAGACACCTGTTACATCTGTCATGATAAAAGACATATGGCTCCAGAATGTCCACATTGTAAAATTAAAGGAAGTACGAAGACAGGAGAAAAGAGAGACAAAATTAAAGGAAGTACGAAGACAGGAGAAAAGAATGACAAAATTAAAGTTACATGTTATAAATGTCCATGAAAATGACATTTGACCTCGGCGTGTCTGCAGATAA